CTACCCTAAAAATATCGCATTCAAACATTGACGATCTTATCAGCGGCCATGTTGTTTGTTGAAAGCCGGAAGGGCTTATGGGTCCAACGTCAGAATTTGCAATTTGAGCTGCCATGGCTCATGGGTTCCTGTACTATCAGCATAGGGAGGGCCTCTATATGTCTGGTAGCTATATGGTTATATGACTTAGAAGCACTTTTGTGTCGTGTCTCTTAGGTCATCTCCTTCCAAAAAAAAAGTGCTCTAATAATCTACCAATCTCAAGATCATTTACTTAGATTTTACAATTTTCAGACGAAATTGGAAAAATCAACTTTTTATATTTTTTCGATTTTCTCTGAAACGGATTACGATGGAATTGTGAACAGATTTAAGTTTCTAATAAAATTCTTTAAAACTTTGCTAATTTAATCGATACTGTATCTACTATAGTTTCCTATGTGCCCTTGCTATCCCATCCGTATATTGAAACTTGAGAATTTAATTTTTATATTTTGACAAAAAGCAGAATACGTATTTCATGCGGTCCTTACAAAAAGATCTGGTGATAAATATTCCGCCATGATTCAAATATAAGCTAACTGGTGGAATATGAAAAATGTCTAAAATTACGTTTTTGATGTGAAACCTAGTTGTGTAGCAGAGCAGGTTAGCGAGCAGTAAGAAACCAACAAAGCTCTCATTTTATGTTTTATGCACTAGATGGTGCTAGGTACAACGTCATATTCGCAAAATTGTGTTGGTCGTCCGTTGCAAACAGTATTATTTCGGCCCACTACGCGCGATTTTCTGATTTTCCGAAGAAAAGTGTATTAAGTATTAAAATAAATATTATAATCTAAGATAAGATATAAATGTCTCTTCCCCGGTCCACATTTTGAAACAAAATTCCCGAAACTCACTCAGTTTCATTTGGACCCACCCCTTTCTCAAGTTTGGAATCAACAAAATTAATAGGCGTAAGCTGAGGGGCCAGGTCATTATTAAAACACGTTAGAACGTCTCCACCATCAATAATATTATGATATGTGGCGGTGTAGTCAAATGCCTCAACTAAGGGTAATTTCGCCTTCCTTCTAAAAAAGTTATGATTTTCTTGATAGGCAATATATAGCCGTAATCGTCTCCGATTCCAAAATTGCCCTGCAGAGCTTCGGATGCAGTGCGGTTGAAGCCTCCAACAGCTACATTCTACTAGATATTAAAGCAAAGATTGATATTTTGAAGCGCAGACTTGGGCGGAAAATATCGTTATGCTGGATTCCAAGCCATTCGGGGATAAGACATAATGAAACGGTGGATAGAATAGCCTCAAAAGCCAGACTTTTAGACCCGCTGAATTTAAGGCCCCCTTTCAGTGAATTTATCCCGATAATTAGAGCAAAAATGTGGCATATCTGGACCATCAAGTTGAAAGATTGGGGCCGTTCAAAGGGCAGACTTTATAGTGCAGCTTATAAGACCCCTCCAACAGTTCCATGGTTCCATAAATTGCAGCTTTCCAGAAAGGAGATTACAACAGTGTGCAGAATGAGGAGTAATCATTGTAGTTCCCTGCACATCTTTACAAGATAAACGTAAAACCATCTAATCGGTGTGCTTGTGGAGAGGTGGGAGATATTGAACATATTTTGTTTGATTGTGCTCTGCCCGGAATAACTCCCAAATTTTGTATGAGTCCCTTATTGATGCCAGCTTACCCGCTCCTGTTAGTACCTTTTCTGCACTTTTTCACCCTGGATGTATGGATTTTGTTGCACGACTTGTGGTTAGATTCCTTGATGCATGTGGTATCTGCTTATAACCGCTTTTGGATTTGCTAGCTCATAGTTTATGGGTTGGTTTTAATGATTATGTATATTAGCTAGAATTTCAAAGAAGAACTCCTTCGCTGGAGAATATCCGAAAACCCTCGACATTTAGAACTTCTGAGATTAGTCTCCTTCGCTGGAGAAGATCCGAAAATCCTCGACATTTGGAACTTTAAAGTTTAGTCTCCTTCGCTGGAGAAGATCCGAAAATCCTCGTCATTTAGAACTTCAAAATTTAGTCTCCGTCCTGAAGTCGGCAATGGACGAATGATCCTGGTAGTCGTGCCCAACAGTTATTTGTAAAACGCATCATTGAATTGAATTGAAGTATTAAAATTGTGTACTGTGCGATATAAATTTCTTATAATTTTTTGAAGAAAAGCGTATTATTTGTCTTTGATACGCTTTTCCTTCAATTGTCAAGGTAAGAAAATTCTATTTTTTTTATGGATAGGTGTATTATATGCGTTATTCTTCAATTATGTTCGCGTGTGGGTAGTATTATCCTAGATTGATACCTTTTTTTTATCAAATAATTTTTTATAATATGAAATTTTAAATTTGAAAAAGGTGGTATAAGTTCTTAATACATTTTTACAGTAAAAAAGTTAAATTTTTCTTAACTTAAAAGAGAAAGGTTCCTCCTTTGCTCCTGGAGCTACTGAAGTAACGTCTTGCATTTTTAAGTACTTAGAACAGAAGGCAAAGACGGTCAATAACGCAGAATTGGAAATTGCTTTTTATAGTGATAACTGCGGACCTCAGAATAAAAACAAGTAAGTACTTTTAGTTTTGTGAACAAATAAACATTAAACGGTGTTTATCTTGTTTCGATACATGATTGCTCTTTTAATGTATACTGTACAAGTACTCAAGATAAAAGAGCATTGCTCAAAATAAAGGAGACAGCACACAATCAACAATTGAAAAAGAGGTATTTTTTTTGCTATAAAACTGTTCTCGAAAACTTCCGAAACTTAAAGAAAGAAAAGAATTAACACACAAAGACTTTATAGATGTCAAACAATTAACAACAGATATTGATAATAATTTTGATAAAAATGTTGAAAATGAACAGGTTTACTTATCCCAGATTAAAATTGTAAAAGTAGAAAAGGAACAGCCTTTCATGTTTTTTTATAAACAGTCATGTTCGGATAGCCAATGGAAGTGTGTTAATGTTAAACAAAAAAAAATAACGAGAAAATCTAGATCTGCGGCATCTTCTTTGCCAGCAGAACTCAAACTTAAAAAAGCGTATAATTCAAAACGCCCAATTAATGAGAATAAAAAAAGGATTTAAAATTCCATTTTTACGGGCCTCTGTTTTAATTAAATTTTAAAATTGTGTTGACTTAACTTAATAATACTTAGAAATAAATGCCATTTGAGTCATTTGTTTGTTTTAATTCATCTTTCATCGACAATTCGGAAAAAAATAGATTATATTTTTTTGAGAAAACTGTATTAAGTCAACAAAATCAAAGTTTTTTGGGGTTTTTGAAAAAGTGACCGAAATATCATTTTATATTTTGTAAATACTTATTATAGTTAACAAAAATAAAGCAATATAACAAATATCATAAATATAATAAACTCTGAGAACAAAATGTATTATATGAATTCTTTAAATGCTCCTCCTATAAAATTGTTAATTAGGCCCTTAATACAGTTTTCTTTGGGATGTGCGATATGTTGGTATCATTGCACACACCACATAAAAGAGCAAAAATTATGCGGAATAAAACAGACTAAAAGATAGGAACAGTTCCGTAAATTGATAAAGTTGTTTAAAAACTGTTAAACTTTCTAAGTCAGATGCAAACTATACAGCACCATTTTTACACTTAGGGAATAAACGTTGTAAAATTTAAAAAAAATTCTAACGATTTTATCTAAATGAAATATGATTTTGCTTTAAATAAATCAATAACAAGTCTTCTTGAAACTCATACGTGCATGCTAATATTTATTTGGATTGAAAAGGAAACCACTGAAACTATAACTAAAAGATAATAATAAAATAAACATCACAAAATATTATTTCAAATGTTTAAAATAAAAATTTAAATGTTATAGATTTAAAATAAAGAGGCCATCATTATAAATTGAAAGGAAAGTGCTTTTTTCTGTTAATACTATCCTTAGACTAGAAAGTCAGGTTTTCTTATAAAATATAATATTTTCATTTGAATTAATAATATTAGTCTTACTTAAAATAAAAGGAACAAATTTTTTAAATTGCGTTTACTTAGGTTGTGCTAATAAAATGAAAGAAAATTATCAACAACGTTTAGGCATGATCTTTCACCTCTTCTTGATTGCACTATTTTGTAGCGCTTGATATTATACAGGCCATATATACTACTTGATTGTATGCTTTGGCCCAACAATTTAAAAAATAAACTACTATTAAAACCAACAAGAAAACGGTTACAAAAACTTGGAAAAACTGAAAATGAAAACAACACAAGCGGACTACAGAGAAGCACCATGCAGATGCCAATGGCGGCTTTATCCTATTGCTCTATTGGCTGGTAAAAAATCTTTTAAAAGTAACAACCGACCGCCCGTAAAATATAAACGTTCAAGTTTCATTAATGTAGTTGTCTTATTATTATAAGAGAACGGAAAACGTTCTGTAATAACTTGTTTTAAACATAATTCCGTTTAAAACAAATACGCAATATACTAAATATAGGAAAAAAGAAAATCGTTGAAATTTTAAGGTAACCAAACCAATAACTTATAAACAAATCAATATCAAAATATTTTCAAACGTCCCTAAATTCTTATATTTTCATTAGTTAAATTGTAGAATAGAGTTGGTATATTATTAGGTGATTTTTTGTGCCTATTGAAACACATTTCTGTGTAACAACAACTGCGTAACAACTTCAATGTCACCCTTTTAAATCAATGCTTTTACAAAACCGCCAAAGTGATTTTCTACAACGAGAGTAAATATCAAGTGCCAACTAACTTGAAAATAGTTTGACAAGTGGAAATATCCGAAACATAAAACAAAACCCATTGCGGCGGATCTGAAAAACTTCCGCCGAAACTTTGCACACGTCTATGGCTTGGCGTGTATATATACCAAAACCGAAACACAAACTTGTTGATTGAATGATTGATATAGCGAACAAACAACATAAACAAAGACGAAGTAGAAAAAGTTATACTTACAAATCAAACACTAAATAATGAAAATTCTCCTCTTGTATACTATCGTGTAATCTCACTGAAAAAAACAAGAAAATAATTATCAACAGACGTATGGGATGGCGCTACATTAAAAAACATGCAATTCGAAAAGAATTTTTTACAGAAAAAAATAGAAGCAATCCTAAGAGCAGTATCAGTTAATCCGAACGACCAATAACCTAAACAATTAAATAGGCATTTTATAACAAGTTGTGGTTGCGCATCATAGAAAGAAAACCAGGCAAGTCGTAGATAAAATGCCTAAACAGTTGCAGCGAAGCCAAACCAAGGCTTAACATTATTAAATGAGGCTTTTAGTGCTACCACGCTGAATTCTCAACGCTGACTCCGGGTACCTGATCAAATTTATATTTTGCAGGAACGGTTTGTTCTTTCTAAAGGTATTGGTATTAATAAATTATTAATGTGACAACTGCAACTACAGAACTTGTGCGGCTTGTTGAGTTTCCTTCAAATGCAGGGAAATTAAAGCACATAATATTACGGCCAAAATAAAAGGTGGTCGCTTTTGGTACAACAATAGAAAAAGACGACGTAATGGGGATTCCAGTCCTTGCTTTTCTCATTTATACAGGGTTATTTATTCATGCTGGCGCGGAATGTTGCGGACGAAATACAAGGTTTTAATTTTAGGTTATGGTTGGATTTATTATTAGTTAGTTTTTAAAATAATTTTCACATTAAAGTTTGCCTAAAAAGTGCTAAAAGTATCAACGTTGTGTTATTAATGGAATCCCCGATATATTATAGCACTAAGGATCCTTCAATAATTTGAATTTTGTCAAAAAGTTTTAATTTCTCCAATAATTAAGAAGTATTTAAGTTATACAGTGAAGCGAAACAAAAGTATGATTTGTAGCAGTTTCTATATTTCTATTTGCGGCTGTGAGTTGAATTACAATTTGATAGAGGGTGCCCCACGATTATCGTATTGAGCAACAGCCGGTAATGCCCGACGGCGAGAGAGTTGTAGGCCGGCATCTCACAAAATAGTGCTTATAATTCTAGAACTTGTGTAATTTGAGATATTTTTCAAATCGAGAGAACCCGTGGCCTGTTATATCGCCGTATTGTGTGAATACACTTTACCGGACATTTGCCTGGTCTTTTGGAAGGTAAAAAATGCCTTCTAAACAAAAGCAATTGGGCTGGTTCGAGGAGTAAAATTAAAAAATATATATTAATATAATATATAAAGCCATCACATAAAGTACACAACAACGCTCGACATTTTCTTACCAATAATTTTCATTTAGAAGTCCCCAGGATGCCACCGGACTTAATAATTTTAATTTGCTAGGGTCCAATTAGCCTCATACTCTACTAGTGTGTACGTTGATAACAAAACTTCATCGCAGGTAGTCCAGATAAAAATTGTATTGTTAAATCTGAATATTAAAACAGGCTAGGGTCCTGACGGTAAACCCGTGTACTTTATCAAACAATCAAACATCGACTGTATCTGCTTGCTTGCTTTGGTATAGTTCTTTTGTGGTCAAGAAATTTAGACATCAAATTATACCTCTGTTAAAAATACAATACTACGCTGAATTTAAAGCAAAAATTGGTGATCAAAACAAAACTTGGGCGCCGCATATTGTTTCTAAGATATGTGAAGAAGGTTTAAGTCTTAAAAAAAATTAGTAAGTGAACCGTTACCCCGCGGTGTTGATAAACTGCACCATTCAATAAATCCTTGTCTAGTTTCTAGTAACACTTTTATCGTGAATACATAAGAATAATGGAACCAAGCGGCCTTTTGGAATACCTATGATATAGAGAGAGTGAGCAAATCTCCATGATGACTGCTATTCCTGCATGTGTAATGTTCGTAGATATAACAATAACAATAAGCCCAGATGTCCCAATACCTGAGAATCCAGCCAATTTAGAACAAGCTACCAAAAGTATTTTTGAACCTGAAATAGATGAAGATGCCCTCAGTGATGACATATGGAGTATTTCTCAATAACCACAGTTATTTTCACAATCAGAACTTAATGACTTAGTCAAAGACTTAGTGTTACCTAAGGATCTTCCAAGCATCTAAGCATCTACACTTCAAAATCAAAATTTACTGGCAAAAGACGTTAAAATCCATATTTCAGGAAGCGCCAGGCAGAATTTATAGGCTATTTTACACAAAGTGATTCCCTGGCTTACCGCACCGATATTCCTAATTAAAAAAAGAAACTTAGTACAAACTACAAGTCTGAGTACTTTTTATTGACTTACTCAGAGAAGCCTTAAACCTGTTCTTTTGCACAACGGAAATATTCTTGCTTCTCTGCATGGTGCTCATTTTGTGCAAATGAAAGAATGCTTCAAAAATCTACTGAAAATCGAATACAAAGACTATAGTTCGATGATTTGTGGTGACTTAAAAATTGTGGGGTATACGAAGTATACCAGTAACACTTGCTGAAAAATAACTGGCCAAAAAGGGTTAATTTAACTCCCGGATCAAAGAATATTTTCTCGATAGTCTTATTGATTCACGAAGAATTGGAGCTGCAAATAAAGATGGAGAATGTTTTTAATACCTATGTAGAAAATTTGACGCAAAGTTTTTGGAGTTTTTCAAATAAGGCGATTAATGGAAGACGGAAGACGTTGTGAATTACAAAGATATTGTAGGAAACATGTTAGATAAATTTAGGGAAATGATGGCAGATTACCGCTGGTCATTAAATAAATGCATCAATGCAATATACAAGAAAATCTTTTTAACGAAGTTTTTATGACTAAGAGGTTTAAGAAACTTTGTTATTTAATGTAATTTTTTAATTCGTTTTTTGTTCTTGTACTAATAAAAAAATGCTTAAATCAACCGAGTTGGTGATTTATCATTTCTTTTAATGTTGATAAAATGCTACGTGATAGAGGAACCATGTTTGTCAGATTTAAATTGAAGAGGCCTAAATTATACAGAATCAAATATGTTATAGACCGGTTCCTCTCTGAACCATTTCGGTAAGATCTTCAGATAACTCATGAGTTGTTCTTTTTGTCGAGTGGTTGTTTGTCTGTGGAACAGTATGAATTTTATCAAAAGCGTTTAGTGGTAACTAATCTAGTACCATATACACACTACATTTAAAATTCGTTTGATGAGGGGGAGTCTGTGGGCTCCGTGTATTTTTCTAAAGCGTTCGATAAAGTTCACCATCTGCTTAAGAAATTAGACCTTTTCGGTGTGCAACGACTCTCCAGCAGCGTGTTAGTTACCTCCGGTGCAACACAGGGTTCCCACTCAGAGTCATTGCTTTTCCCAATTGTATTCATTTCTCGAAACACATACGCGGATGACCTTAAATTCTTTTTGAGTATAAAGACCTTCACAGACTTTATAAAGTTTCAGTGTGACCTTGACCGTTTCGAGAATTACTGCAAAAATTACAGCCTTCAATTGAAAGCCGAAAAGTGCAACTCAATTGATTTCTCACATGTCAACACAACAGCAAGAAAAGATATTTTCATATTCATCAGAATGGTTTTGTTAATACCACTGAAGACTCGGGAATTTATTTAGATTCAAATTGACATTCGAGGGCCACGTTGTTAAAATAGCTGCGAAAGTCATGGGGATGGTTGGTTTCGTATGGCGTTTGGCGAAGGATTTTGGCACAATTACTTCTAGCAGTATAAGCAACGGTCATTTTCATTTTCAAAATAAGATAATTACGTATTACCTCAGCAACACCATGCTATGTAAATTATGCGCTATCAAAGAAAGAATCTCCAGTGTTGCCGAGTTTACCCCGTAAACACCTATGACTAAAACAAGCGTTACGATATAAATCTCCATATTGGATTAGGTTAATATCTGCCCTTCTAATACTGAATTATCACTGAATTAAACGGTATATTTCATGTTATTCACGCAACGCTATCTTATTCTGACCTATTGTGGTAGCCTATCTCGATAGGCCTTTGACGTTTCTGTTAAATATTGCTCTATCTTTGGGTCATCTCTTCAAGATTGGTCTTCTTGGAGCGCGACTTCCGTTTTTGGGATCTGGCGTTTTGAGATAGTCGAATCCGAACGATTTCCGTTGTTTTTCCATCTTCCGTTTGCCGATATAGAAGTGCTTGCCATAGGACTTGAAATTCGGATATTCTGTTTTGCGCTAGATTTTGACGAAGGTCACGCATTCCTCTTGCAACCAAGTTTGAATGCATGTTTCTTTCAATAAAGGCTCCCGTATGAGAAATCCGATTTTCCTGATAGATTGGAAGACAAGTGCCCTATTAATAAGATATAATCTCTTTTCCGGAATATCTCGTGCTATAAGCACAATCCCGTTATAGAATGGGAATATAAAACAATCATTCTCGAATATTTTCCGTTATCTAGGGTTTTATTGGTGGACCAAGACTTCTCAACTTACGCTGATACCTGTGCGTTTCATCGTTAGGCCGAGCTTGTGCATGCTTACGACGTAGCAACTCTTACATCGAAGCTACAATAACTGTTTCGGTTTGCTGCTTACACTGTCCAACTACCGCCATTAAGGTAAGATCGATTCGTAACAAGGAAACTGAGCTTTCACTCATAGTTACATAAATTATTTCCGTCTCTGTGCAACGTGAGACATAAATAAACTTCTGGACAAGATTAACGCAACATCATAAATCTACCAGATTTTTTATGCTATTTTTTCCTGAACTCAGGATCCGATTTCAAAGATTTTGTTTACATTGTATGTTAATTCCTTGACAATGTCATAGTTTCTACTGATAATAATAGAATGTTCATTTTCGATTTATACCAGTTGTAATAAAAATGTTACGTGTTTTCCGAAAATTCGTAACACCGGTGGAATAAACTGGTCACTGAAATGCAGTTGACATTATTTGACAATTTTTTCTTTTTTGGTTTACTTCAATATTTGTGTTATTCAAGGAGATACACAATTTTATAGCATAACATGTTTTTGTAGATTATATTGTTCAGCCCGTAGACTCTGAAATTTTTCTGATATTTCAAGGGATTTGTGAACACATGTTGTGTTT